CCCCCATTTGATTTCATATATATAAAATCATTGTCAAATAAATTAAGAAGAAACATACCTTCAGCTCCAAATTCTGGTTTAAATGCCTTCTTCTCCTTGAAGTTCTTGAACACTTTAACAGTGGAACTACCTTCACGAGTAGCATATTCGGATGAATCCTGAGCCCACACAAACTCCTGTGCTGAGCCGTAAGCTTTGTTCCGAAGTGCCATTGCAGTGTATATTATGTATTCTCCATCTCCACACACAACAACAAACCTGAAAATAAATACTTGCAAGAAATTTGCAATGGTCCATTAAGAGCTGACAGCAGACCTAACTTCTGATCCACCACTTGCTGGTGTGTATGCAATAGATTATGATGAGAATATCGGCAAATTTATTTGAAGCCTGGCTGATGAGTTCCAGTAATTTGAATGAACACAACTGAGATTAATTTAAATTGACATGTACAATGGCTCAATAATGGAAATCTGATCCACATGTTAAAATGTAAGTAATTGACATGTACAATGGCTCAATAATGCAAATCTGATCCACATGGTGAAATGTAAGCCAGATTGCTGGTATACATTCGAATACACACGGTGAAACTAACCTTCCATTTGGGTTGTGGGCAATCGTCTGCGGATAGATATCACAGCTTCCCATGTCTTTGACTGCAAGAGGCAGTCTCTCACCATCCTTGATCTCTGCGCCTTCTCCCATTGCTTTAAGATTGGCCTGTTGCACTTCTGAGTGGCGGGCCCAGATTATTTTTCCACCACTTGCATCCATCGAGACCGCAGGTTCTTCTCGTCCAACTTTTACCATGATGCTTCCTTCATCATACCTAACAAAGTTTCAGTGAGTTAATATGGAGCCATTGGTACCAACTGAACAGTAGTCTTCAAGCACTGAATGAAGCTGTAGCATAGTTAATAAAGAATGTGTTTTGATATTTTAATATGTGGGAACAACAGAAACAAAAAGAGTGAGGTTAGAAAATATTTGTTATTGTTTAACTCAAAACCACTATAAAATATAAGATAATAATCATCTGAGATTTTACAATGTATAGTCTGGTAGAAATTTACCAAAATTTCAGAGGTGCTTATTGCTTTGTTTAAAAATGAAGTTCTCAGGAAAATGTTTGAATCTATGATGGATAAAAAATTAATGATGCCTCAAATTAACTTTCTTTCAATTAATTATAAATTGGGGTTTAAAATGGATACACTAACCCCAACGCCACATTGTTGAAACCCCTCATGCAAGCAACAGTCCACACTCGCTCAAGTCCATAATTTAGTGACGATTCCAATCTGTAAGTGCCAGCATGCCAGATGCGAACTGTGCCATCCTCAGAGCCAGTGAGCACAATAGGAAGTTCTGGATGAAAGCACACTGTAAATAAGGGCATAATGTGAGCTGTGTTCTCTGGAAAGTTTAGTTCACTAAACTGATACATGCAAATACAGGTGGTCTTCAGTTTAAAATGGTCTGACGTCCAACGTTTATATAATGGCATCAGTGGGTTGAAATTTGATGTACGAATGTATTTATAAAAGTATAAAGTAAGTTTGGTTTCTGAAATGACATGTTGTGAAGCTTTCATTACTGTTAAGTGATGTAGATTTTGCTCATTAAGTCCTGTTAAATATGACTCATCAAAACGCCATCAAGTGGTACTTCCAACATGTTACAGCATTCAGAAAGGTTAATGTCAATCCTAACATTTTAGTGAAAAAGTCTGATTTATGATTGGAATTTCAGAAAAGCAATGACTGTGAAGGTCAGGGCTATACATGTTTACTAATTCCATTTTAAACTTCATCAAAGCACTAAACAATATTTCAGATCTATGAGTATCAGATTTTGCATAAAAAATAACCTATTTTCCTTTGATCCTGATCTTTCTGCATTACATTTTATTTCTGGATTCTTATTGCAACTCTTACACTGCAAATTCCAAATTTCTTTACTCAAAATTGCATAGTAAAATCTGTCTCACTTAAACATATGCAAATTTCAACAACAAATTTTTAAATGGAATCTGAGTTTTGGAAGCTTTAGTAGTTCAACCGACATATGCAAATTTCAACAACAAATTTTGAAATGGAATTTCAGTTTTGGAAGCTTTAGTAGTTCAATGAAATTACTGATTCTTGAACTTTAACAGTTTTTTCAACTACACAGATTAACTAGTATAGATGGTGAACTGGGAAGGGTGTGGGAAAAAGCAATTGTACCCTACTTTAAGGTACCAACTTGGTGTTTATCTGAAGATGAAGGAAGACGACAAACACGCACTCAAGAATCAAATCTGGGACCTCCTGAATATAAAGCACATATACAAACCATACAATTGATGTTTTTGTCAATGTTTTAATACAAAACGGAACAATACTTTTTTTTCTGTACTAACCAATACTACAGATAAAAGTGCTTTAACCCTTCAAAGCAATTGGGTTGGCCACCCCTGCTTTAAAGCAAAAGCTTGTATAAATAAACTTACAAATTTCATTCCTACAACAAAGAAAATGCAATGCAACTCTATTAAAAAGATCAACTAGTTAATTATGATAGGGAAACAATGCCTGCGTACACTAAAAATCATACAGAATCCATAAATGCAAAACGCAGTTCCCAATCACTAAAACATGTGGTTCATATATAGTTACCATTGGGCTTAAAGGGTTCTCAGATTAACAAAATAATGCTACTAACCAGCAGAAATATTCTGGGCATGCCCTTCCAGGGTTTGCACACAAGTCTTGTTTTGATAGTCCCATATCTTAACGAGGCGATCATCTGCTCCAGAAATCAAGTATGGCTTATCGCCACCATGGTAATAATCAACACAGTTCACACCCTTCTCATGGCCTTCCAGAGTGAAATTTGGTGCTGATGATCCCAACTGCCACACCTGAAATGTTATTCCTTGTTAAATTGTGAGATACCTAAACATTTGTAGCCTGAATATGCAGGAAACCATCTATATCAGCAATTTATACATATAACTTTTATGATAAGAATGCATTAGAACATAAAATCTATCATAAAACTTCTTAATACATCTGTTGTCTTATAATTAAATTATTCTGATATATTTCCTAAGACTTTCTGTGAGTGTACATGCAACTAATGCCACTTCGACAGGTGACCATCAGTGTACACCAATGGTTTTATCAAGATTGGTGATATTTTACATTAAAAATGTAATAAGTAATATAACTTACCACACGTAAGATGAAAAAATCAAAATAAAGAATGACTTACTTTTGTTTATTAATTTTAATTATGTTACACCTCATAAGATTTGAGGTTTTCACAGCGGTGAGTATGAAGATTTCTGTCTTCTGGGTTGTTGCGCTGTGTAGTCTGGTCGATGTTTACCAACGTTTCGGAGGTCATACTGCCTCCGTCATCAGGGATATTCATCGCCCTGATGACGGAGGCAGTATGACCTGTGAAACGTTGGTAAACATCAACCAGACTACACGGCGTAAAACCCAGAAGACAGAAATCTTCATGTTACACCTCATACACAAACATCTGCATGAAGAGTAATGAGAGCCAATGATGATACTAATATTATTATTATTTCACATCCAGAAGTTGACTACAAATTTGCATGAATTATGTCTTTGTTAGCATAAACAAATGGTTTAAAGCCAATAAACTAGCATTAAGTTCTGACAAAACAAAGTTCATAAAATTTTGTACTATGAACAAAAATTGTGTTAATCTAGAAATACAATATGAGAATACAACAATTGAAGAAGTAGAAGCAACTAAATTTCTTGGCCTACAAATTTAAAATAACAAAGTGGAAAACACATATTCAATACATTATCCCTGAACTAAGTTCGGCATGCTTTGCTACGAGGACTGTCACATCGCTCATGAAAACAGGAACTTTAAAATCAGTCTACTTTGCCTACTTTCATTCGACCATATCACATGGAGTTACTTTCTGGGGAAACTCAACAGACAGCAAAGAAGTATTTTACATTCAAAAGAAAATCATTAGAATAATGGCAGGCACTAAAAGGAAGAGCCTCATGTTGGGAATTGTTAAGAAAATCTAAGAAATTTAATTTTCTTCCACTAGCCAGCAAATTCTTGCTCTCATAATTACTATTTGTAGTGGACAACATACAAATTTTGAAGAGACTCAGATACACATAACATAAGTACAAGATACAGATAAAACCTTTATGTGACGAACACTAAATTCAGCAAATATCAAAAAGGAGTTTATTATACTGGAATTAAGCTATTCAATAATCTTCTCCCCCACTATAAAAGCCTTGGTCATTATATAAATTAGTTTAAGCCAGCTGTAAAAGAGAATCTCATATCCCTTTCCTACTCCATAGAAGAATTTACCTCAATCAAAAATTCTCAGCCATTATAAATACATGTAAGCAATAGTGGTTATGCTTTTAGATATAATTATTTTTGTGGTAATGCTATAGTCACTATAAATTACTGTCAAAACTATGTAATTTATATTTGTATTAAAAACAAGTACAGTAAATCCTGGTTAATTGGGAAACATCAGTACTAGAACACTATGACTCCAATTATGCGAAGTTCCACGTAAAAAAGCTAAAGAGGATTGTTATTTAAAATCTGTCCCAAATAAACAGCTGGCCGGATTAACCGGAATCTTCTGTACTGCATGTACGCTATGACAGAGCTCTGCCTAAGAAGCATAATTTCAATACCCAGCAGTCAAAATTTCTATGAATATTAAGGTACCTTAACAGTGCGATCAAGTGATGCACTAGCAAAAGTGTTGTTGTCCTTAGGGTTTATAACAATCTGCATCACATAGTGAGAGTGGCCTTCAAACACCTGCTGACATATCCACTGCTTATCCCAGTTCCATAGTTTGATCATCATGTCATCTGTCAATTAAGAACAAGAATAATATTGCAGTGGATTCTTCTGTATAACTATTAATTCTAGGAATGGAAATATAAACTTATATAACAGCAATCATTATTGGGTTAATTGTGATTACTGGAGATGGCACATACTTTTACTTTTAATTTTACTATAAAGTATTATATAATTAATTGCATATTTTACAACTAAAAACATGTCATTAAATGGTATAAATATATAAAAAGTCATGAAAGAAAAATAGATACACCAGTACCTCAAGTTACAAATTTTGTTACAAGAAACCATGCAAATTTATATTTATTCCTCAATTTACAAACATTATTTTCACTATAGCAGAGAACCAATTAACTTCTTATAATTAATTCTTCGTAACTATTATACATATAGCAATTAAAGTTCCATTAAATACAAATGTTTATTTTTTGTTTATGAAGGTTCTGATGTTTACACTATAACTACAGTAACAGCTATACAATGTAAACATATGATTTACCATTTCGGTAGTACTTTACAGAGGAAATAACTAGCATAAAAAAATTAATATTGCTCTTTTTCCTATTGCATAGTGCTTTGATATACATGGGATAAATATGGGTGATTTTCAGAAAGTCATACACTAGTCAGAATTTATTAAATTGAAAATAATCAGAATTTCATTTTTAATTTTAGATTTTTTCACATTATGAACTATTTTCACTGAACAAATTATGTTCAAAAATAGTAAAATTGAAAATATAGGATCTGCACAGAAGAAGTGTAGAACAGAGAGCATAGCATGAGAAGGAATTAAACACAAATACCATTGGCTTGGAGCTTATTAGGCATCCATGTGGAGATACTGAACACTGAGTGATGTAACCTGACAATCACTCAGTGAGTTAACAATAAAATATCTAGTGGTGCTGGCCCAGACTAGGATAAGGTACCTCCTGAATGCATGTCTAAAGAATGTTTCCAAATACACCTAACCTGTCCCATTATGTGTTTTCTCTGACTTGCAGCACCCTAACTTACCACTGCTGGTTAAAATGCAGGGCTGAGTAGGATGAACAGCAATACATCTGACATAATCAGTATGAGCTTCAAAAGCATGTACTCGTTCCAAAGTGTTGTAGTTAAATACACGGACTTGCATATCATCTGACCCAGTCACAACCCAGTTTTTGCGGGGCACAAATTTTGCTGCCCGTACAGGCAGATCACAGACCTGTAAACATCAGACATGTACTGAAGTTACTCATTGCTACAGTAATATATCACTATTATACTCCTGAACCCAACAAATTCAGTTCATACAACATTATGTATTGCATTAATGATTTTCTTAATTTAATTATCTTTTGTTAATTATGTAAGTCACATAGCAATATATCAGAGATTACAGGATAATTATGATACTAAAAGGAAGTGGTCATGGTATACTAAAGGCACTAACCCAACATTTGTTAAAAACAATGGTTTCTAACCTCTTCTGACAAGTAAAACGGCAGTGTTTTTCCCAAAGACTAGTACTCTACGTTTTACATTGTACAGAAGAAATTATATGTGAAGTACAGCATTCTACATACCTCAAAAGACTTAACAAGCTGTTGACTCTCATGGTTCCACACATGCACATTTCCATTATACAGCGATGCTAGCATCCATTGTTCAGTTGGGTGCAGATCCACACATTTCACACGATCAGACCGGGCTGTCAGCTTACGTTTTATATCTAGTCGCAAAGGCTATCAATAAAAACAACAAAATTCTGCATCTATAAAGGACAGTTATTTTCATGTATCTTAAGGGTGTTGCACTTTTAATCTTATAACTAGAAAACCCAAAAAATATAAGAACTTTATGGTACAAGAGACCACTTAACCACTTATGAATTCGTAACAAAACAAAACAAGACAAAACTTAATATAATTGTTCTAATATGTTTAAACCCACACCTGCCATGACACTTAATAATAAAAGAAAATGTTAAATGTCAAAATTATAATCAAAATTAGGCAAAGGGCAGTCCTTACCATTTATCCTCCTTAAAAATATATCAGTATACACCACCGAGTTCCTTACGAGAAAACTTCTGTCTTCATACTCACCGCTGTGAAAGCCTCAAATCTTACAAGTTCCTTACAGATTACGAGTAACACAGTTGAATTAAAATACATACCATTTTATATTCAAATTACAGATTTGCAAGAAATGTCAAACAACATGAAACATAAGCGCAACGTGGCTTACATGTTCTACGCATGTGTAAACCGCTCAGTGCCACCAACTGCCGACTTATGGTAATCGTGGATAAAATTTCTTTCACATATATATTTTCGTTTACAGCTTCTACGACCAGAGCACAGGGGATCTAACAGTTTTCCGTAAATTTCTGTTTAAAATAGTTGCTCTCGAATGGGAAGCATGATTGCTTTGATACCATACAGCTTTATGAATAACGGACTACAAGCGGTTAGTATGAACATTTCTCCTCCAGAATATTTCTGAGAATTCCAGGCCTTAAAACCAGCTAATGATGAATTTCAATAACTGCGTTAACACTGATAGAGTTACGCCAAAGAAGTAGAGACTTGAAAGCTTTCCATTTTTATAAAAACGGCTGGAATCAAATTTTAAAACCAAAAATAATATATATAATACATATGTGTTATTTTTGGTTATATATATGACGCTGTAAACCGAAGCCGAACATCGGGACGCAAAAGGTGCATGCACTGGAGACTTAGAACAGCGCAATAATGTGGAGGGGTGAAGTCCTTCCGTGGCCTAAAAGCTCGCAATTTGATGACGGCAACTGTAGTAACTGCACTAATGTGCTGTCATAAGAAAACAAAGGGTCATATCGAGAACCTGCTGAGATATGACCAGTGCGAGAGAGACAGAAAATGTCAGAAAGAAATATATACGTAATGCTGAACACGTTTGTTAATGTGAAATATTAATATAAACTAGCATTGTTTAAACTCACAAGAAACATTATGATACTAGAAGGCGCCAATGCACTGTGGCAGTACTTTCCCAGCGAGGAAGATGTTGGTTATTCATGAGCTGTTTGTATTCAAATATCCATTACGTGAAATGAACATAGGGCTACGTATTAGTAGAACATAATATATAATGAAAATACAGTAAGTGTTGGTCTCAAGAAGGAGTTTGGTGGATTGTGATGGCTTTCGAAAGTGAAAGAACTCAACAAAGAAACAACTGTGAGTGCCGAAAATCGATTTATTAGAATAGTTAATGGAGAGTTTTCATTTGTTGTCTCTGAAAACTGATATCTAGACCTCTGGCGAAATGCATGAAGCTACGGTGAATTAAATATTCTTTTAAGTTTAGATGGAGGCACAGCTTGTACAAACCGTATATGAAACCATACCGTCTATTGGATGATTACTTACCATGTAACGGAAACCGGGGAATTTCCTGAAGAAAGTTACTATAAAATATTTTGTCGTCCCACTCCATATAAAAAAACTAAAGGTTAAAATATACAAAAAGCTGATTTTGCCAATTGCGCTGTATGGGTGTGAAACATAATCTTTCACTTTGAGGGAACATACAGATTAAAGATCTCTGAGACAGTGCTGAGGAGGATATTTGGACCGAAGAGGGAGAGAGACGTATCATGGAGAAAACTACACGGCCTGTATCCTCACCTGATAATGTTAGGGTGATTAAATCGAGGAGGATGGGATGGAAGGGACATGAAGCACGCATGAGGGAAGATGTGGGGGGGGGGGGGGGGGGTGTTACAGGGTAATGGTTAGGTAGCCTGAGGTTAGGAGACCGCTGGGAAGGATAACGTTAAAATGGACCTTAAGGTACAATTTAGCTGGACGCGACAGAGACAAGCGACCGAGGCAGGCGACAGAGTTACGAGACCGAGACTGGTCGCTTCCTGTCTGCTCTCTGTACAATCGTATGAAGTACAATTACGAGCGCGAGACAAAGACAGGCGACAGAGACATATGTCTCAACAAAACAAAGAAAACAAACACTTTGCCGCATGTCTCGGTCGTCACCTCAAAAGTGTGTGGCGACAAGCTGCGATGTGTTCGTCTCCCGTCTCTGTCGCCTGCCTCGGTCGCTTGTCTCTGTCGCGTGCAGCCAAATTGTACCTTTAGGGAGACAGGAAGCGATGGAGAGAACTGGATGCAGCTAGCTCAGGATAGAGTTAGGTGGCGGGCTTTTGTGAACACGGTGAAGAACCTCGGGGTTCCACAAACAAAGTGGGCTATTCTTGGACAAGCCGAGTAACAATGGACTTTTCAAAAAATATCCTGCACCATATTACTGGTCATGTCAGTTTTTTCTAAACAAGGGTGGCAAATATATTCGTGTGAACCTGTTTTAGTGTAATAGTGGACTTTCGTTGATACGCAGACAAACTGCCCTACCCAGTATGCTTTCATTTTGTGCTCTTTTGTCAAGAACTAGCGGTTAGAACGCTGGCCTTGTAATCCTAGGGTCTCGGGTTCGATTCCCGGCGGTGCCCGAATTTATAACTTGTGTTGGGCAAGCCGTGGTCTAGGCAACACGGAGTTTTCCTCCGGGGGGCTTCCCCGGTTTCTCCGTGGCATCCCAACAATTACTCCATTCACACACAGAAGAAGGCAATGGCAAAGCACTTCTGGATCATCTGCCAAGAACGTATATGAACAGGTCTCAGTCCGAGAAAAGGATGGAAGGATCCTGTTCATATGGACCTGTCGTCAGACAGAACACTAAATAAAATAATAACACAATCTCGTTAAAAAAAAGTCATTGCTCACTGAAGTAGATTTTACTCAACTCTTACATTCTAGCTAATAACTAACTCGATAAACTCCATAGCACAGAATCTTCTTTGAGGAGCAGATAGATATTCATGTTATCAAGAAATGTACCTGTTTAACAGAATCTGATTGAACAACATCGTGACTAAACAATTCCGTTATTGTTCTCTTATCGTGATATGCAATCCAATCGAAATTTTCACACACTTTGAGGGTTTATTTTACCAAATCTTTAAAGCACTTATCATACGACTTGTTTGCAAGAATTTCAAAATATAAAAATTTTGTCAGCTTGTATGTCTGAGTGATTTTTCATCAAAATTTCCAAAGGATTTAAAAAAATGTTGCTGTCGAGGGTTTAAATTAAAGGTTTGGCTTTTATATGTCAAAATTGAAAACCTTCCAAGAACCCAAAATATAAATTTGTGGTATACATTTTCAGAAAAGATAACAGTTTATCGTGGTTTATATACAAATGATGGCCCAGTCTTACAATACATAAAGTAAGGATTCCATTAAGATCAAATTTTTATTTAAAACATGATGTCATGTATGTTTACCGAAATGCCGAATACCATCCATTAGCTTTGTAACAATCTACTTCCTTATGCTATAAGTTAAAGCAAAGGCCAGAAAGGTGGATTCAATCGTAAATTACATTCTAAGACATCTGTAATTCGCCTTTTTGCTCTTCTTATCACTACATTTCCTGTTTCTCGCTTACACAAAACAAGGTTTTAACATCGGACAGACATGTGGTATCCCACTATGCAAGAACACACAGTTCATACAAATGTTTCCAAGGTCACATACAACTGAAAAATACACGATATGAACGTCTCCATTTACTACGATAAACGCTTTAGGTTAGGTAAGCTACTTCGTAGTATTCAGCTATACTTACTCCATCTACAGGTTCAAAATAATTTTGGTAAACTGACTTACAATTGAGCAAATTGAGCTGGTAATTCGGGGCTGTCCTCAGACTAAATTAATAACGCAACTTACATTGTAGCAGAATTTTGTCCATTCCGAATGCAATGGTTATCCGGCTGTTGTGAGAACTCAGGACAGTCGACGAAGGTTAGAACCTGGTAATTTTCGAATACAGGTAGCCCTCGATTTGCGCCGATTCAGAATAACGCCGATTTTGAAACCAGAAAGTCAAAAAGTGAGACAAATATATTTTACTATTATTTATAACGTTTTACAATGTTTCTCGTACTGTTTCTTACACTAAATCGTAATTCTTACATCGCTGATTTTGAATAAAAATAATAAATACAGTCATCTCTGCAATTACGTATGTTTCGTTAACGAGAATTTGCTCCAATGAGATCGATGAATCGGTAAAAGCTGTTTGTGAAATGTAAACTTTTGCATATGTGAGTTTGCTGTTATGCAGTTTCATTCCTGGCGCTTTAAACTTTTAAAGGACTAATTTAATCGTGAAATTTTGAAAGAAAGAAAGAAGAAATCTCGACAGTCCACACTACATGCCTTCTTTAAAAAAACATGACGATCCTCAACCAGGGACTTCGTCGGAGAACTAACACCGCTTCATCACGCCATCGCCGATTGTAAGTGTATAAAATATATTTTTTAAATTCCCTTCATTTTATTTACGTTATTTCAGAGCTTTAAATGTAATGCCATTATATTACTCGTCAATGTTTGGGTGCTGGGAACGCATGTCATTGACATCCCATTGATTTACATTATAAAAGAGTTTCAATTTACGCCGATTCAGTTTACGCCAGTTCGTCCAGGAACGCATCCCCGGCGTAAATCGAGGGTTACCTGTATTGAGAATCGTAGTGCTCTCCGCACAGTAATATTTTGAACATTAAAATTAGGATATTAATAACCCTGCATATTTCGCAAAACCTCACTGCCAATCCACCAATGTCATACGAATTTTTCTTAAATAAATTATCATCAAAACCAATGACGAATGTAGATCTCATGAAGAACTCCCATTTGAAAATTTTTCGTTATGGCAAATTTATAATTCAATAAAAAGTTGTCAGTGGAACCACGGTTCCGGAGAATTTGACGTAAATACGTCTATACGGAGAGGAAGTTTATATACTGGCTTTATTCTAAATATTTCCTTTCTTTATTACGCCGTCTCCTTTACAGGAGGTTGGCGACATTATGAACAGGATCCTTCCCTCCTTTTCTCGGCCTGGGACCTGTTCATATACGTTCTTGGCAGATGATCCAGAGGTGGTTTGCCATTGCCTTCTTCTGTGTGTGTGAATGGAGTAATTGTTGGGATGCCATGGAGGAAAACTCCGTGTTGCCTAGACCACGGCCTTGCCCAACACAAGTTATAAATTCGGGCACCGCCGGGAATCGAACCCGAGACCCCAGGATTACAAGGCCAGCCTTCTAACCGCTAGACCACCGTGGCACGGTTAACATGTCTTAGGTAACAATAATGCCGAGTAAACAGGTGACGTTTCGTAGGCAACAATAATTCCGAGTAAACAATTGACGTTTCCAAGGTAACAACAATGCTAAGTAAACAATTGACGTTTGCTAGGTGACAATAATGACGAGTAAACAATTAACGTTTCCTAGGTAACAACAATGCTAAGTAAACAATTGACGTTTCCTAGGTAACAATAATGCCGAGTAAACAGACGACGTTCCCTAGGTAACCATTGTTACACTTTTTCGTTCCACCTTTTGCCGAATGACACTGACCCTAAGATATAGACGTATTTACGTCAAAAAAGATAACTTCTGACTATGGGCAGCGTGATGTCTGCGGGTAGATTATTTTTTTAACAATAGATTTACATTTGAAATAAATTTAAAATAAATATAAACACCGACAAGGTCGCGTAGTTCTTGCTTCTCCACGCATGGTAAGTTACATGTCGCGACCAGTAGGCCTTCACAGTAATTTTGTAGAAGTACTGATAAACGTTTAGAATGGTTTTCATTATGGCTTCAGTTCTCGAGAGTTAAAATAAGACAAGTTACGGACACTGGGACATCTTGAACAAATTAAAGTTGGGAATTAGCTTGCGATCTCAAAACAATTTCAAGGAATCACTCACTGCATTCCAGCGACAAATAACGTTTCTAAGAGGAACAAAGCTTTCATTCATAAAATAGTAAAGAGTCCTCATAGTACGGGGTCCGATGTGGCCGCGCGGTCCGAGGCGTGGGCCTTGTGTCGCTGGAACCGTGGGTTCGAATCCCACTCAAGCCATAGATGTTTGTCCGCGTTTTTCTGTGTTGTGCTGTCCTGTGTACAGGTAGAGGCCTCGCGACGGGCCGATCCCTCGTCCAAGGGGTCCTACCGAATGTCTATAGATCAAGCCATTGAAAAGTTGGGACCCGCAGTGCTCAGGCACTCGTTCTCAGTATACCGCACAGAACTTTATAAATTAGATCAGAAATGGCGATGCCAGATTTGGCAGTGACTGTGATTTTTATTGTCATTTGTGATTAAGGCTTGGGGAAGAGGCCATTTGCAACAGTTTATTAATTGTACAAAATGTTTTAGAGAAATAAGCTATAAAGATGTAAACTGGTTAGGACCCAATACTTCCGGTTCCAAAAAAGCATCATATGTTATAACCGTCTGCACAACAGGTTTGTCATTTGGTACAAATTATATACTGGGGATATTGGGATACTGGGAACGACCCGTTCTTCAAGTGCCTGAGCACTGCGGGTCCCATCTTTTCGTTGGCTTTGATCTGTAGAAGATATCCGTCTTCTGGGTTATTGCGCTGTGTAGTCTGGTCGATGTTAACCAACGTTTCAGAGGTCATACTGCCTCCGTCATCAGGGCGGTGATCTATAGACATTTTGGTAGGACTCCTTGGACGAGGGATCGGCCATCGCAAGGCCTCTACCTGTACACAGGACAGCACAACACAGAAAAACGCGGACAAACATCTATGGCTTGAGTGGGATTCGAACCCACGGTCCCTGCCACCAAGTGGCACATGGCCCACGCCTCAGACCGCGCGGCCAGAGCGGACCCCGATCATATTATATATTGACCTTAATTGGAGACATGTTTCGACAACAAAGTGTCATCAAATGGTCAATCCCTTACCATGAATCATTGTAGTGCTCCAATATCCTGACCAACTCAGCATTCAAATGCTGAAGAAGACCGTGGCTATAATAAAGTCTACTCAATAAAAAATAAACGAAACCAACAAACAGTCCACGGGCAAAACGGTCGAAGTTCTTGAACGTTAACACCAGTGGTACATATAGTTACCGCTGTATTCTTCGTATAAACAACGACGGTATTGTGTGTAGAACGCAATTGAGGTATTAAAGGCAAGGATGCAGAACGAGCGGGGGCGGAGCCTCCGCGAGGGGGGCGGTCAGCGGGCGAACAAACGCGCAAGCATAAGGCATGTAACAGCAGAGCGTACCGTTGTAGTTCCAGTACGATACGGTGTTAAATTCAAGACGTGACGACAGATGATAATGTTTTCAACCCCAAAATAAGTTTGAAACGTAGAAGTGACTTAAGAATATGGCGGCCGTAAACGCGTGCTTTGTAAATGATGACGGGGTTTCATCGACGAATGGGCGAACCCCTCAACAGCAACCGGTCAGCAACGCCACAAATGCAGAAACTGCACAACAGAGGAGTGCTGTGTTCTGGCCAGGTAACACTTTCCACGTCTCGCATAGGAACATTGGCTCCTTTTACTCTGATTAAGTCAGTGTTTAACAATGTCAGTGAAAACATGTCCTCTGTTATTCAATTTATATGTGGCATTTTATTAGGTTATGTCTAATTACCACGGGTAAGATACGAGGCTCGTCCACAAAGTAAGTTTCCCTGGTATCAGTGTTTCGTAACCACTGGTTCTCGGACCGTTTTTTTTCTAACAATCACCAGATTCTAGTTGGCCTCAGCCTCGTATTACAAACCTGCCACCACAAATAAAAATAATATCTACGGCTTGTTTCCTCATCCTTAAGAGATTAAATAGTTTCGATTACTTTTCTCTCCATTATACCCCTTTACGAAAGCAAATTCGTACGATGACAGCTGTTCGTAAGGTAGTAATTCTTAAATCGAAAATGAAGTTCCCATTAATGTCAATGTAAAAATTCTGACTGGTTCCCGACTCCCAGAAAAACTGCTCAATATTTTCCCCACATTTTTTAGAACAATATAAAATCATAGAAATAAGAACTGTGTTACTTTTTAAGATAATTATTATCTATGTAACCCTGTAAGGCATTATAGAAGTGTTAAATCAAACGTTTACATTACACAGACTGTATAAGCATCAGAAGTTACAGAAACAATTAGTAAATAACTGTCTTGATTACGATCTTAATTTCGATACGTATAGTAATCATAAAATATCAATGATGAGAGATTAATTACTTCTTCGTCGTAGCAAAAATATTTTAAAAATAGGCATACATTTGCATTGTTCGTTGAAGCGAAAAGTCGTCAATAATCGAGGGACATGGAGATTCTGGTAACTTGAAGATGGCTGTCTTCTAGTATGTTGCTCTGCGTAGTCTGGTAGATACTGACCGACGTTTCAGAGCAACTTACTGCCTTCATCAGGCCGATGAGTGATAGTGGAGGTTGTACGTCAGTCAGTTGCACAATGCAACATTCCAGAAGACAGTCATTTTATACTCGTCACAGTGAGAACCTGAAGTCATTCTGATAATTTATTCCGCAAAACCCTTGTTCATAATTTGTAATCGTAAACGCGATTACGACTTATCTACAATTCTATAAACATGGAATTTCTTTCAGTTTCACCATAGCTTTACTTAACTGCGTACCTGGCGAGTTCCATATCGATAGCTTCTAGTGAATTTAAAACTGTAAGATGATTTGATATAAAATATTTTGTTTTCGTAATTGAATAATATTACATGCCCATGGTCGATAATGGTCATTGTGTGACTGGAGCTCGATACAAGGCCATGTAAATATATAAAAGTGATTGCTCTATTAAAACCTATGAAAAGTCATTAATGTATTTTCTTATGACCCTTGGGCTTTGAGAACCGTTTTACTATTCTGTTTCCAAATACTGCGTAAATAAAACAAACACACGCCTTATTTTATTAATTCCCAAACTCACACTCGCTTTTAACCGTTCAGGCAAACCTTACCTTACATTACATTCAGCTACCACAGACCCATCTTAGGCGTAACTAATTCAAGTTGATTAAGCAATGTTTTTATCAAACTTTACGCAACTGTAAAGCGTGTATAAAGGAAATATTTACATTAAAGCCAATATATAAACTTCTTTTCCGTATAGACGTATTTACGTCAAATTCTCCGGAACCGTGATTCCACTGACAACTTTTTATCATGAAAACTAATCTGAAATTGTAAATGCTGAATTTTTATTTATATTTATGCTCATTATCGGGAAAAAAAATTCATGGTGGATAGAGAGTGTCAACAGGGCTGAAGGTTTATTTGTGGCGTCAAGTTCTAGACTATTTAACGACGCTGTTTCAAATGCATAATTTATAGTCCTATATCGTCGAATGAGATGGTGAGATTATGATTAGTAAGTAGGGTATGGAATATGTTAATGTACTATTTCGATATCTTGAACAAACTGTGCAGAAATGGTCAGCACTGGAGGCTTTAAGGTACAGAAGAACTTTAAATGAGCGAATGGTATTTTAAAAACTATATGAAGAGATAAATACATGTAAACACGAGTCTGTGTTGCTTGGCCTATGATGCAGAATATATTAGTGTGGACTGTTGTGATGACTTATAAACCTTTGGACTCTAACAAATATCTATATTTTGAAACGTTTTATGATAGCTCACTAAAATTGACATAAGAAACTTCGTTAGTTCGAGTATTAAAATGTACATATTTAATCACCAGTTCATTGTGAGGGATATTTTAATTAAGAAGGGCCTATGTATAGACGTTTTCGTGTGTTTTTTGTGTCGTTGTTCCGTACATTTAATTTTTTTCATAATTTACTAAGCGATTCAGAAAAAAAACAATAGTTCGTTCAAGCCTTTGAATAAAATTACCCTTAAACTGGCTCATACTAAACCACTTCAAAATAGTTAAACAGAATTCAGTGTAGGCCTGCGTTTAACACATACGAGTTTGAACCCAGTTACATGAGGATAGAAGGACGGACATAACGGAACAAACAACATAGGTGATTTTCGAGTTTCTTTCCGAAATGCGCACAACAATATTCACCTTCACAAGTAGATCCAATGGCTTTAGATCGCCACAGATCTACTTCCAGGCCTATTAATACTTTTCACTGAAGGATTTGAGGTTTTCACGGCGGTGAGTCTGAAGACGGCTGTCTTCTGGGTTGTTGTATCTTGTAGTCTGGTAGAAGTTTACTAATGCATCATCGCCCAGATGATGGAGGCAGTAAACACCTCTGAGACGTTGTTAAACTTTTATCAGACTACCAGACTACAAGGCGCAACAACCGAGAATACTGCCGATTTGATATTCTACACCGCGAGAATCTGAAATAAACAGAATAAAAATCTCAGCGGACCAAGATTGCAGCCGCGATCCCCAGAATACGAAGCGGGAGTGTTAACCAATCGATCTCGACGTTCGATATCGATTATTATCGTTTAATCTAGTGATTTGTATATATCTTGATAGCTTGGCAGCCAGCCTTGTGATTTTATGTCTGAAACGAAAACAGCTTGGACATGAATTAGGCCTACGTATTTTCTAGTGTGTCTTTCACACGGTCTGTGTGCTTTGAACCACTCTTCTTGTGGAGAAATTAAGTTTAAGGTCAGTTCTGTTGCATAATGTCTCTATGCTGTCTCCAGTTTAATTAATAAGTCTTACGGCATCATTTGTGTTTGTGGTTCAACATTTGCTAATTATTTATTCATATTCTTGTCGAAGGTTGTTCCCAGTATCAACTCACGGAATCTCATGTGTACTGTACAATTTTCGTTGATATCTGCTAATCTTCCTCACAACTAGTTTGCTTCTAAAAGTAAATTCGTTTTGAATACCATTTGTGTACCTCGCCAAAAGCCTCTTCTCATCCTGGGTGTTCTACACCCGGAATTGCTGTTACACGTGCTAGACAAAAAGAACATATGGATGACTTTTAAATGAGAATAATTGATTGCTGAGTAAACACCTGCCATTTATTTACACTTACATTCTAAACTTTGTTACTCAGCATCTGAGGTCCACAGCTGGGTAATGCTAGGACGATGCTGAAACAATCTCATATCTTTCAATAATAATCGAAGAAAACAGAATAGTACTGTCTGATTCGCAATAACTGATTATAAGTAACTTACATAATTGTCTATTATTCCCTTACAGTTAAGTGTTTTAGGTGCGTTCAGAAAGAAGTTAAAAAATCCGCCTATCAGCTTCGCCATGTTTGTCTGCCTCCGTGTGTAACAACTAGAGAACAACTGAACCTACTTTTAATGAAATCTAATTCTTGGGAGTTCTACAAAACTTTGTTTGTCGTCATATTGGAACTTTAGTTAAGTCAGACAGCAATAACGAACTCTTCACGGGAAGAACTACAAGAACTTCTGGTAGTACAGTGTAACTCCCAAAATATTTTTCGGAGCTAATAATGTTTCGACAAAAGTTGTGGAGAAAACGATACACATTTTAGGACTAATACATTTTCCCCGTACTGATACGTGTTACGGTTGTGGGCGGGAAAGCAGCTACCCGTTCAGTAGTAGTCTACACAGTCTCTGCATGCATTGTGTTTTTTTTGACGTAAATACGTCTATATTTTAGGGTCAGTGTCATTTGGCAAAAAGTGGAACGAAAAAATTAAAGGAAAAAGTGTAAGTCCATTGTTATGTTACCTTGGAAACGTCAATTGTTTACTTAGTATTCTTGTTACCTAGGAAATGTTAATTGTTTACTTGGCATTATTGTTACCTAAGACACGTTACGTGGCATTGTGTTATATTACTTTCGTTATTCTGGAAAGAGCTCAGCTGTGAATCGTTTGTAGAAGAATTTCGTCGTGGAGTAGATGATTTTTTGCTAGTAAAAACTTTTCTTATATAAGAATTATTAAGTAATCTGTTGTTGCGATAGTTTGTTGCTTCATACTATGTACAAGACGGATGAGATTGATGCTAAAAGACTCCATAATGCAGAATATCGCAAGAAGAAATTATTGCAAGTTAATGGTTCCATATCATTAGCAAGTACAAGTGTTCCTACAAGAATCGCTCAACCAAGGTATGAAAATGCAACAGAATATTTTCATAAGCATTTTAATGAAAATAGATTTGGATACGCTTGCAATGTATGTGATCAGTTATGGTTTGAAAAAGATTTGAAACAAGTTACTGATAGCCATTTATATTTATTGGGTACGGAGTACGTAAATGAAAATTTATCCCAATTTAAGGTATGCACAACATGTTGGCTGTCTTTAAATAAACAACAAATACCTATATTGTCTAGGAGTAATGGATTTGTGTATCCACCATATCCCACTGATTTGAATCCTCTAGATTGCATAAGCGAATTATTAATATCTCCTAGACCCTGTCTCGCGTTACATCGTTGGACGGTTTGTACATCACAAGCAGAAACAACGACTTTGTGTTTTATCATGCCAAGGGAACAAACAATCCAAAGGTAGAGGACTTACGCACTGA